GCGGGAGCGGGACTGAAAAATCCGTCCCGCGCAGGTCTCTACCTCAGACACATCCATGGACTCCAGATCATGCAGATGAGAGAAGATCCAGTCCACGGCTCGCTCGAGAACATTATTCTACAAATACAGTTATAAAGTGGGTGTACGCACAGATTTGATCTTGGAGTGTGTGTACGCTTAAATCCATGCCAACGCTCATGTAAAAACTGCCTTTAACTTAATAAAGTGCTTAGCGTCATGTCAGGGTCTGAGCATACAGTATCATAATCACTTTTTCTTGTCGGAGTAGGCCAACTGCCGGTTTTTGGAAACGTAAGCTGTTCTTGCAGCTCGCTGTTCTAAATTAAAGGATTTGGACGATGAGTGATCTTTTAGGCTATATGTTAATGACATTAATTAGGAGTCGTTTAGAAGGCAGAGAGCTGAAACCATTCAGTTACACACAAGTTCAAGATCATTTGTGAATAATAGATTTTACATCTGAAAGAGAGGCGTACATGTGTTTTCCGTGGTTTCTGCGCAACATTTTATAAATTGAGGCCGTAGGTCTCAACTCCTAAATTTCTTAAAGGGGTCATATGATGCGATTTCAATTTTTCCTTTCTCTTTGAAGTGTTACAAGCTCTTGGTGCATAAAGAAGGTCTGTAAAGTTGCAAAGACTCAAGTCTCAAATCCAAAGAGATATTCTTTATAAAAGTTAAGAGTCAGCCACGCCTACCTAAAACGGCTCGTTCTAACACACCCCACATTCGCGCTGTGGATCGCCGGATCGGCTTTCACCGTGGACGGCGATCGTCACGTGTGGTTGCCGCAAGCCCGCCGCGCCGCTCACTCAAGCCGGCCTCCGCTCACTCTAGCCGGCTGCCGCTAACTCTAGCCCCCGGCCTCTGCTCACTCCAGGCCGCCGTATGTGACACTGTGTTTCGTTGTGAAAGCGAAACTACTTTGTTTGGCCTTCCAAAAGAGGACACAACTAGAAATCAGTGGTTAAGTTGTATTTACAACACTGTTCCAGAACAGTTCAACCCAAATATTTAGATGTGTGCAGCACATTTTATGGAGGACTGTTTCCTGATCCTGGGAGAGTAGACTACAATGCCGGCTGTTCTGACTCACAGAATGTATGTACGTTTTTTTATATTTAAAGAATGTGCGCTGCCTGAGCTTCACGAGCGCGCCGGCTCGCTTCCCCTGTCTGCGCGTCCTGAAGCGCTTGATCAGCACAGCAGCTCCGCCGACTACAATGTCCAGCAAAACATCAGAATAATCGAAAACCGGTGAAATATCGGGTGGTGTGTACTTCCGAATGTCCAGCAATTCGTCTCTGGTGAAACTGATTGCAGGGATATAACTAAAGACAGGACAAACTAACAAAAACATAAAAACAACTGCGGAGCACGCCACGGAGGCAGCCATCAGCGTCGGAGCCATCTTTGGAATCCCATCATATGAGTCATATGACACTTTTGGAAATAGCATCATATGACCCCTTTAAGGGGCGTAACATTTCCGTCACACGCTTGAGGTATTCGGCCAATCACAACGCACTGGATAGCTGGCCAATCACAGCACACCTCGCTTTTTCAAACCGATGAGCTTTGTAAAAATCGACACGTTTCAGAAAGGCGGGGCATAGAGGAGAAACAATAATGTACAGTATGTGGAAAATAATGCGTTTTTTGAACCTTAAACCGCATAAACACATTTCATTACACAAAATACACAAAATAATGTTATTTTTAGCAACGTCATATGACCCCTTTAAAATGTACAGTCATCCTCCTGAAAAATAGCATCTGTGCTGTGTATACTTTGAATACTGTGCTGAAATTTAAAGTGATAGTGCACTTATAAATTAAAAGTCTTTATTTACTCACAATTGAAGATATTTTGAAGAACGTTGGGATTCAAACAATATTGGAGGCCACTGACGTCCACTGTTATAGACATTTTTCAAAATATTTTCTTTTATGTTCAGCAAAAGAAGGACATTCATGCAGGTTTGGAATGATATGATGATGAGTAAATAATGAGATAATATTTGGGTAACCTGTCCCTTTAAGAGATAATATATACACTACAGACTACACTGTATAAACAATACAATTCACACAGAAGTATTGTGTATGCAGTGTAGTTCACTCTCAAGAAAAGGTACAAAAGCTGTCACTGGGATGTTACTGTTTAAAAAGGTACTAATATGTACCATTTAGGTACACTTGAGGTAGTAATATGTGCCTTTAAGGTACCGATGTCCACCTTTAGAGGTGAATATGGTACAATGATGGTGTACTTTTTGGACGCGTTTCAGAAAGGCGGGGCATAGAGGAGAAACAATAATGTACAGTATGTGGAAAATAATGTTTTTTGAACCTTAAACCGCATAAACACATTTCATTACACCAAATACACAAAATAATGTTCTTTTTAGCAACATCATATGACCCCTTTAAGAGTGCTGGAGAAGTCTAGTTAGGAGTAACAAGATGGCAGCAGAGCGGAGGAGACCAATGTGTTGAAATTAGGCTATATGAGGACAGGGAGTTGATAAAATCATCGAGGCATTCTTTTTGTCACTGAAATTCTATAACCTCCCACACTACAAAACAATGCTTTATCTACAGAAATAAAAAGTCATAATGACTCTGCGTTTTTTGGCTACTGGAAAAATGCAGCAATGCACCAGTGTTGATTTGGGCCCATCACAGTCCACAGTCAGCAGGGCCTTAAAGGGGTCATATGACGTTGCAGAAAAAGAACATTATTTTGTGTATTTGGTGTAATGAAATGTGTTTATGTGGTTTAAGGTAAAAAAAAAACATTATTTTCCACATACTGTACATTATTGTTTCTCCTCTATGACCCGCCTTTCTGAAACGCGTCGATTTTTACAAAGCTCATCGTTCTGAAAAGCGAGGTGTACACTGATTGGCCAGCTATCCAGTGCGTTGTGATTGGCCGAATACCTCAAGCGTGTGACAGAAATGTTACACCCCTTACCATACTGTGATGCTGTATCCCGGAGCGACGAGACAAAACCAATAAAACCCATTACAAACGAGGCATTTGTTGCATCCTGTGGGGAAATAATTACTGATTATAATGACTTGTACTGTCTTTTTACGCGTTGCGTTGCATCGCGCCGAGTAAACATAAAATCATGTCTGCATTTGTGATCGGAGAAACGACAAACAAGCGCTACTCTACACTGCTCAAAACTCGCGTTTGAATCATCAGTGGCAAATCCTTTAAATGAAAACGTACTTAC